AATTGCCTTTTGTATAAAATATTTCAGTGCAGGGAGTTGAAAATAATCCAGTGGTATGTGTAATGGAAGTGTCGTGGTAGAGCAAAAAATGCAAAATGTCTAACCACTTTATGTAGGTCCTATGCTGATGCTTATCACCCCTGTGTGTAGGTCCTATACCAGCTCCACACACCCCACCACCAACACCCACCCACCCCCCACCCCCATAGGGAACTATTTGGTATATATTGGTGATAGGGAACTATTTGGTATATATTGGTGATAGCGAACTACTTTGTATATATCGGTGATAGCGAACTACTTGGCATATATCGGTGATAGCGAAATACTTGGTATATATTGGTGATAGGGAACTATTTGGTATATATTGGTGATAGCGAACTACTTTGTATATATCGGTGATAGCGAACTACTTGGCATATATCGGTGATAGCGAAATACTTGGTATATATTGGTGATAGGGAACTATTTGGTATATATTGGTGATAGGGAACTATTTGGTATATATCGGTGATAGCGAACTTCTTGGTACATATCGGTGATAGCGAACTACTTGGTATACATTGGTTACAGAGAACTAATTGGTATATGTTGGATACAGCGAACAACTTGGTATATATTGGTGATAGCGAAATACTTGGTACATATCGGTGATAGCGAACTACTTGGTATACATTGGTTACAGAGAACTAATTGGTATATATCGGTGATAGCGAAATACTTGGTATATATTGGTGATAGCGAAATACTTGGTACATATCGGCGATAGCCAACTACTTGGTATACATTGGTTACAGAGAACTAATTGGTATATATCGGTGATAGCGAAATACTTGGTATATATTGGTGATAGCGAAATACTTGGTACATATCGGTGATAGCCAACTACTTGGTATACATTGATTACAGCCAACTACTTGGTATATATTGGTGATGGCGAACTGTAGGATGTCTTTGCGCCGCCAGGTACACACTATTTTCATATCCAACCCGAGTGTTGATATGGGATCTGTTGGGGCACGTCCTTGGCATTTTATGACCACATCAACACTAACGCCGCATGGCGTGTATTATACTCATAGAGCTATTAAGAACGCCGGTCTGCCGTCATGCCGGCCCTCTTATCATTGCGGCACGTGAGACAAGGTATTTGTTCCCACTATAAACATGATAAACAAACATTAAAAACACACGTTACTCCTATCTTACACTGGATACTACATGCGAGGCTCCCACAAGCGACTGCAGCATAGAGAGGATATATCTAAATGATTTCCAGGAACTTCGATGTCTTAAGTCAACAATAAAGCTCACAAACTTGGTTCAGTCTGTATACATATGCGTTAAGCACGAGTGTATGAAGAACGCACGTGTCCGTTAATGTCACCGACTCTCGTCCGCCAAGCTGGGAGAAGCGCTTTGACGTCAGAAAACCAATACACCTAGCGGCGGGTGGTCGATTGATGTTGCAGAGGCCCAATGAGAGAGTTAGAATGCTAGTGTGGCACTTTACTGCAGAACAAGTAAAAAACAGATAAGTGGTCGTCTTATTAGCACTAGGTTTCATCATTACTGCGGGGTTCCGACATGACAAGGATGCGTGTTGAGAAGCTGTCCTACGCTGCCTTTATTTGTTTCAGTCAAGTCCATATAGGGTGGTTTTATTACTTGGTTACGGATACGCCGCCCGACTTTTCCCACATGTGTTAGAAATAATTTTGTTTAATTTTTCCTGTCGAGTTTGTTAATAAAGTTTGGTAATTAATAAAAAATATCAAAGTAGATCGACACGCAAGGGAAATAACTATTTGCAATTTCAAACCAACATCCCCAGCTGCAGGTTAGTTTGTTTTTCTTTCATATAGTAAACTTTACCAACAATTCCTATATAAGAACAATGTTAATAAAATATGTAATGCCTTAAATGGGAGAAACAATTTATAGAAACATACATATGCAAAATTAGCACACAGTCAGTCAAAAAAGCGCAGTTGTGCGAGTATGCGGCCGGGCGGGCGTGAGCTCCTTATATACGAGTATTTCTCATTGGTTTGTTTGTTGTTTAACACTGCACTCGGCAATATTCCTGCTATATGACGGCGGTCTGTAAATAATCGAGTCTGGACCAGACAATCCAGTGACTGACATCATGAGCATCGGTCTTCGCAGCCTCGTTTCAGGATACCGTTAGACAAGCATAGTCGCCCTCTTATAACAAGCACTAGTTGCAGAAGACCTATTCTAAGCCCGGATCTTCACGGTGACTTCTCATTGGTAGAGAAATCACGTGGGGTGGCTGCACAAAGGTTTTATGCCGTAGAGTACAAATCATCACATGTCAGAAATCGCTTTTAAAATTTTCTTTAATTAATAGCGGCAACTATATATATAGTACTGTGTTTCAAATTCGTATGACAACGTGTAGTCATTATTTCATTCCGTACATCGTCCATGATCGTCTTCTTACCCGCCTGTTTTTAAGTAACATGGAAAACATGGAAATTATGCCGTCTTAGAAAGGTTACTTGGCCTCAATAAAAGTCTTGCCACCATCCACTGGTTACTATGCTACCACTGTCCATGTGCAGCGACACTGGTGCCTGTCGGGCTTGCGGCTGACAGGCGACGCTGTATCGATTTATTGGAAGTTGTGAACAGCGCGTGACTCGTCTGATGGATTCAGAGACGGGCTGCTGAATCGTCAAGGACTGTTGTTTTCATCATTCTTTAATAAATTGTCAGCGTTACTTTTCAAATGAGATCTATAGCGTGGTGTACACTCACTGGAAAAGGGCATTGTCTGGAGGTGAGGGCGACTCACTGTCATCCGTGCGGAAAGAACAAGGGGTTGACAGGAACAGGCAGTCGGTTCAGGACACGTTTGAAGATACATTACTCTATAGGTGTTTCACACAAAACTATTGTGCCCCTACGGTGATGTTTAAGTTTGTAACCATTGTAACGCTGTCAGACTATGAATCTGTGGTTCAACGCTTTTATTTCTGATTTTGATAATACGAGTATTTGAACGATCGACATAAAAAGAAAAATTGATAGAGAATTGATAAGGTCTCCTGAAAGTAATCAATAAATCAGATGTTAAAGAGTGCATGAGTGGAAATATGAGTTAACGTTGTACACCGCAATATTTCAGTCGGCTGCTTACTGAGTGTCATGAATGTGAGGGGCACAACACTTTCAACAGTGGATAGCGTATACACAGCGCTTAAAATGCGGTTATAGGCGGCAGTACCAGGCATGGTGGCCTCAAAAGACGACGATATCAGACATAGTGGCCTCAAAAGACGACAATATGAGGCACGGTGGCCTCAAAAGACGACAACATCAGGCATAGTGCCCTCAAACGGCGACAATATCAGGCATAGTGGCCTCAAAAGGCGACAATATCAGGCATAGTGGCCTCAAAAGGCGACAATATCAGGCATAGTGGCCTCAAAAGGCGACAATATCAGGCATAGTGCCCTCAAACGGCGACAATATCAGGCATAGTGGCCTCAAAAGGCGACAATAGCAGGCATGGTGGCCTCAAAAGGCGACAATATCAGGCATAGTGGCCTCAAAAGGCGACAATATCGGGCATGGTGGCCACAAAAGGCGACAATATCAGGCATGGTGGCCTCAAAAGGCAACAATATCAGGCAATTTGGCCACAAAAGGCGACAAATGAGGCATGGTGGCCTCAAAAGGCGGATATATCAGGCATAGTGGTCTAAAAGGGCGACAATATCAGGCATGCTGGCCTCAAAAGGCGACAATATCAGGCATGCTGGCCTCAAAAGGCGACAATATCAGGCATGGAGCAGGGAGGGCAGTTGCACCCTTAGATTTTTTTTTATAGAAAACAGTTTTATTTGAATCAAGTTGGGGACAAGTGATACTTGTACAAATATTTGCGCACCCCTGTCAAAAAAAGTTAACTACGGCCTTGAATATGTCTTCAGCAACCCATGCTAGTCGTATAAGGTGACTATGCTTGTCGTAGGAGGCGACTAACGCTCATCGTATCCCGCTGCGTGGCTCGATGCTCATTATGTCAATTGCTGGATTGTCAAAACGCCGTCATATAGCTGTAATATTGCTGAGTGCGGCGTTAAACACCAAACAAACAGACAAACATGAGGCGGCAATATCAGGCACGGTGGCCTCAAGAGGCGTCAATATCAGACGTAATTGAAAGACCATTGTTGACGTAATGCAGACAGTATTGTTGACGTTTCAAAACGTCACAATAATAATGACGTCAAAACGTACACGTGCTGATATCACGTAACGTTGACCTTTTACCCGCAGGAGATTATTTTCACAACAGCTACAATATAAAAGTGTGGATAATAAAAAGATTATTACATGAGTATGTATCTTACTGAGTTTATTAAAGTCTCAAATGATTTCAAGTCAATTGGTTCTTCTATAAATGCCATTAGTTGTTAGATTCGGTGGTAATAAAAATGTTCTTTTAAAACATATTAACTATTAAAATTTATGAATTATTGGGTCGACGGATCCGTAAAACTAGCAATTAATAACGCCTTTAATTCACATGTTCCTTTGAGCCAAACTGAATACGAAGTGAGATGGATGATATCATCATATCATCTCGCACCTGTTTATATCTCCCGCTATCTGTAATTTCATTGGCTCACAGAGGGGAAGCACACTTTCCCGTATTATGACGTCATGTTCGAATCAAAACATTGGGAAGTGTAGTTTTCATCAGCTGGTGCCCAGCAATGTAAGCGGCGTTTTGATTGGACGAGGATACGGACCCTGTATGCAGAAACAGCTTGATATTTCCTAAATGAAACCGAAATCGATAAAAATAAAGCTCGAGAATCTAAAGTGTTTTATTTTGTTACCTTCTGTAGCTTAAGGCTGTTAAAATCCACCCCTGTTACGGGACAACATGAAATTATAATCGCGCATTTGCCTCAATTTCGTCACAGGGTATTGACTAATCAAATGGCTTGTTGCATATTGACTTCGTCGGAGCAGTTCATGTTATTATTTTCTTTTGTTCATTTTCTGTCGCTACATGGATGTGTGGACAAAAATCTTGAGTTTAATGGCACGGCGAGATGAACCATCATAATCATTTTAGCCACCACGTCAAAACAAGATCAGAGGTATGGTATTCCAGCACAGAATCCCACATTCTCCCCCCAAACGAGCTTGTTTTGACAATCGCCTTGGTTTGTTATTCTCGTCGATGTCCAGAACAGCTGAGCTGTTAGATCACAGATCAATTATTTATATCTGCAACTGTCATATCAACATTTAATTGCCATACCATTATATTCCAGTGACCTAACCATTGTCCATACACGTCTGTACTCGTGCTTGTTTTATGGGATGTTGGCAAAGCCGTGTAATGTTGATTAGCGTGTGTCCAACTGTAGATGTAGGTAACGGTACATGGCACAGGTCTTGTGTGGTCACATGGGCCAGACCGCATGGCATTTCCTTTGTTTCCATCACATGTGTACAGGAACTCCAGTTGAACAAAGTTGATAAGAAATCAGTTATTATCATGGATGATTCATGAAACGAATTCGAGTCCAATAATACATCATTATTTATCCTTGACCTGCCTTGCATGATTAGTGAAGAAAAAACTTTGTGTAATAACAACAAATAGCCAGTCTTGTCCCCAACATTTATGCATCCGTTCATAGATTAATGATACATATATATACCCATGAACTGATTTTTGTGAATGTCCTTTTCATTTCCTTATAGGTTATGTTAACAATAATCTTACTTGTTGCCAATGTTGGTTCAATCATGGACACTTAATATGATATATTTAGGGTCCATGGTTCAATGAAACTAGTCGTAATACAATATCGATGGTATAATGTCTTATATTATCCATTATTTAGAATTAAATTGGAAACAAACACCTACCTTTACTTTTAATTGCACAATCGTGTTATATTTTATGTATTCAATAGCTTTCCCTGTGCAGTAGTAACGGAGCACCTGCGTGCAGGTTCATGTTGGTATGTAGTCAGCCTGTGGATAGCCCAATGGTTAAGGTGTTCACTTGAGATGCAGAAAACCAGGGTTGGATTCCATTATCATTATGAATCGACTGTCTGTAATAAGCTCAAATCAGCCCACATCATATAGAAGCAGGGTAGGGACAATATGGGTTGAGCGGGCAAATACAGGATTTGCAGGCCGATATGGCTTTGTGCAAGTGATTACATTCCTTACATTGCAGTCACAACAAGCGATAGACTTCTGTGTTCACACTTCATCAGGGCATGGATCCTGTTTTCTTATAACTGTGACATTTTAGCTCTTTTTTTTGGAACTCCTGAATTCATGGAATTGGAAACATGTAGTTTAGGTAGTCAATTAATTAATATGTCAGATGAGTCTCAGGCCAATGTGACTGACCAAGGCCAATATGAAAACACACATGTAATAACATGATGTTACTGTGTGTGTGATGCCTCTTCTCTGCTTGTGTCCCCATTGTAATATGAACTAATACGAGGGCCACTGATGCAAACCTCCCTGTCACGTTCCTTGTCTCTGTCCATCTACAAAGCATAAACTGTGCATGTAATTAGAGTATTTTATCCATCATATGAAATTCTAGAATGTCCCATGATTTCTTTTCACAACTTGTAGGAATGTTTTTACATGCTTAATTTGCAATAATGGATGTGTAAGGGTTTGTGTACTATGTGTTTAGCTTATGTATGCCTTTATAGCTCATCATTGCTGTGAAGTTCTGTTGAGCTCGGAGTTGAGGATGTGATGCAATTATCATTAACAGATATTTCAGTGTATTTGTGTTATCAGTCCTTTTGAAGATCCGGCTAGAATTGGTCTTCAGCAACCCATGCTTGTCGTAAGAGGCGACCTACAGGATTGGGTGGTCTGGCTTGCTGTCTTGGTTGATGTATCCCAAATGTGTTTATCGATGTTCATGATATCATGGATTGTCTGTTCCAGATTTGATTATTTACAGACAGCCACCATGCAGCTGGAATATTGCTGAGTGTTGCGTTTAATGACAAACAACTAACAAAATGTTTTGTCGGTATATATCATGATATATAATTGCTGCAAAATTGTTTGTGGTGAATTATATTCCTGCACTCATTCACCTGTAGTATTTCTACTCCATTCAGTGTTTTTTCATCCCGAAGCCGGGTCTGCAGTTGGTTCAAGTTCCGTATATCACTGTTCACTTAAGTTTTCCTCCAGTACAGATCACCTTTGAGGTTTAGTAGATACAGGGTCTGCCTGAGAGCGGAAAGTTGGTGGTTTGATTCCTGAGTACATCATAGCCATAGGGATTAGATTCTTAAACTTGTTGTTTCCTTGCCTGGCGCTCAGCATTAATTTGATGAAATAAGGACTTGTTGGCTTGGAGTCAGCATACTGTGTCTGAGTGGGCTATCCATGTTAAACTGCAGCATGGTATCTTAGTGGGCTAGCACTATAAAAGTTAAACCAGCATTAGTCCGGACTGCATGCGGTAGCTACACAAATGCAGTAGTCTTGAGAATTGGTTAGAATAGGTCTTCAGCAACCAAAGATTGTCGTAAGCGGCGGCTTACAGGATTGAGTAGTCAGACTCACTGACTTGGTTGATGCACGTCATTGTATCCCAATTACGTCGATCAATGCTCATGGTGTCAATCTCTGGATTGTCAGGTGCAGACCTGATTATATACAGGCGACCATCATATAGCTGGAATATTACTGAGTGGCCTTCCAAACACATTGTACCCCACCGTGATGCAGTATTGCAAGCAGTGGAGAACCTACAGCCCCCATCATCCTGGAGTCCCTGCCACCACAGAGTTGGGGGAGGTAGAGTAACCTAGTGGAGAACCTACACGACCATCACCCTGGAGTCCTACACGCCCATCACCCTGGAGTCCCTGCCACCACAGAGTTGGGGGAGGTAGAGTAACCTAGTGGAGAACCTACACGCCCATCACCCTGGAGTCCCTGCCACCGCAGAGTTTGGGGAGGTAGAGTAATCTAGTGGAGAACCTACACGCCCATCACCCTGGAGTCCCTGCCACCACAGAGTTGGGGGAGGTAGAGTAACCTAGTGGAGAACCTACATGCCCATCACCCTGGAGTCCTACATGCCCATCACCCTGGAGTCCCTGCCACCACAGAGTTGGGGAAGATAGAGTAACCTAGTGGAGAACCTACATGCCCATCACCCTGGAGTCCTACACGCCCATCACCCTGGAGTCCCTGCCACCACAGAGTTGGGGAAGATAGAGTAACCTAGTGGAGAACCTACACGCCCATCACCCTGGAGTCCTACATGCCCATCACCCTGGAGTCCCTGCCACCACAGAGTTGGGGGAGGTAGAGTAACCTAGTGGAGAACCTACACGCCCATCACCCTGGAGTCCCTGCCACCACAGAGTTTGGGGAGGTAGAGTAACCTAGTGGAGAACCTACACGCCCATCACCCTGGAGTCCCTGCCACCGCAGAGTTGGGGGAGGTAGAGTAACCTAGTGAAGAACCTACACGCCCATCACCCTGGAGTCCCTGCCACCACAGAGTTGGGGGAGGTAGAGTAACCTAGTGAAGAACCTACATGCCCATCACCCTGGAGTCCCTGCCACCACAGAGTTGGGGGAGGTAGAGTAATCTAGTGGAGAACCTACACGCCCATCACCCTGGAGTCCCTGCCACCACAGAGTTGGGGGAGGTAGAGTAATCTAGTGGAGAACCTACACGCCCATCACCCTGGAGTCCCTGCCACCACAGAGTTTGGGGAGGTAGAGTAACCTAGTGGAGAACCTACACGCCCATCACCCTGGAGTCCCTGCCACCACAGAGTTGGGGGAGGTAGAGTAACCTAGTGGAGAACCTACACGCCCATCACCCTGGAGTCCTACACGCCCTTCACCCTGGAGTCCCTGCCACCACAGAGTTGGGGAAGGTAGAGTAACCTAGTGGAGAACCTACATGCCCCTCACCCTGGAGTCCTACACGCCCATCACCCTGGAGTCCCTGCCACCACAGAGTTGGGGAAGGTAGAGTAACCTAGTGGAGAACCTACACGACCATCACCCTGGAGTCCCTGCCACCACAGAGTTGGGGGAGGTAGAGTAACCTAGTGGAGAACCTACACGCCCATCACTCTGGAGTCCCTGCCACCACAGAGTTGGGGGAGGTAGAGTAACCTAGTGGAGAACCTACACGACCATCACCCTGGAGTCCCTGCCACCACAGAGTTGGGGGAGGTAGAGTAATCTAGAGGAGAACCTACAGGCCCATCACCCTGGAGTCCCTGCCACCACAGAGTTGGGGGAGGTAGAGTAACCTAGTGGAGAACCTACACGACCATCACCCTGGAGTCCCTGCCACCACAGAGTTAGCTACATCGGCAGTATTTCAGCCATATCGAGACTTGTGAGAGACATTCATCAATGTTCATCCTATGATGGTAGATGGAGCCAGTATTAGGTCCCATGTGGGATGAGGACATTCATCCTGTAGTGGTAGATGGAGCCAGTATTAGACCCCATGTGAGATAAGGACATTCATCCTGTAGTGGTAGATGGAGCCAGTATTAGGTCCCATGTGAGATAAAGACATTCATCCTATGATGGTAGATGGAGCCAGTATTAGGCCCCATGTGAGATAAAGACATTCATCCTATAGTGGTAGATGGAGCCAGTATTAGGCCCCATGTGGGATAAGGACATTCATCCTATAGTGGTAGATGGAGCCAGTATTAGGTCCCATGTGGGATGAGGACATTCATCTTATAGTGGTAGATGGAGCCAGTATTAGGTCCCATGTGGGATGAGGACATTCATCCTATAGTGGTAGATGGAGCCAGTATTAGGCCCCATGTGGGATAAGGACATTCAGCCTATAGTGGTTGATGGAGCCAGTATTAGGCCTCATGTGGGATAAGGACATTCATCCTATAGTGGTTGATGGAGCCAGTATTAGGCCTCATGTGGGATAAGGACATTCATCCTATAGTGGTAGATGGAGCCAGTATTAGGCCCCATATGGGATAAGGACATTCATCCTATAGTGGTAGATGGAGCCAGTATTAGGCCCCATGTGGGATAAGGACATTCAGCCTGTAGTGGTAGATGGAGCCAGTATTAGGCC